AATTTATATATTATTTATATATTATTGACATACGCATATTATTTACAACTCTTCTTTAATCTTGTGGAGAATGACTATCAGAAATGCAAAATACAAGAGGAACTAATTTTTAAATCAGATTTCAGGTGAGCCAAAACATGGAGTCTGGCTTCCTCATAAGGAGAAGAATTAGCAGGTAGAAATAATACTGTGTCAGGTACAAGGAGAATTGCTGATCCCAGCTCAACTTAGGACAGGCTGCTGAATCTTGAGGGAGTCAATAGTTTCCAACATCTATACGTTAATTGTATTCAGAAGCACTGAAAAGGAGGTAAATCAGTAGCTACCAAACAATTAGTTATCAAACAATCTCTCAATGCATCTTAAGGTACACTGACTAGTTTCTTTAAAAATACGTTTTGGAGAAATGTTATTAAGTTTTACAAAATCATAAGTTATATAGAACAACAGGAAGATAAATGAAAATATTACCTTATTTCCTGAAGGGAAGACAAGTAGTCCAGGCAGTGGGAGATCAGAGATGGGTTGTGGTGCTATTTAAATCTTGTTCCTCCATAATATGGTAACTCTGTGGTTTGAAATACCTAAAAAAGAATTCAAATTCTAAGAAGTCATGACAATTAGAATTGTTTTCCCATCCAATTTTTGTACCACATATTCCAAGGAATGCTTCTACTCAGGTTGATTTAGAACATGATTATAAGAAATGAGGATTTTATAGTGTGTAGGAATTATTTATAGTTCGTGTTTGTGTGGCTAACCTCTGCTATGTACCAGCTGTGTGGTTCAGGATTTTTTTTTTTCCTAGAAGTACCTCAATGTGTCTTTTAGTCTAAAACACTTTAAACAAATATCTAAAGTGATATTTTTGGATGTGTTAATTAAAATTTCATTAATACATGAAAACATGCATTTTTCATATTCATTGCTTACCATTTGCCAACACTAAAAATATGGTTAGCCATATGCAAGTCTATGTGATAAAATGGGAAACTCAGCTCTCATATTAGTTAGTAGTAACTTTCATAAACATTTACTTTCTTAACTTCTCTCAGTAGTTTCCCAATCGGTAATAATATTCATATTTAATTGTGGGTTTGTCACCAGCTGTGAGTTTTCGCCGGCAGAAGTCCCACAGAGATGGAATGAATTACTCGAGACTCTGTGGAAAAAGCCAAGAGAGCGAGAGGGAGTCGGGAGCCAACTCCACGAACCTCTCAAATGCTCCCACATTTATTGTGTACAATCAAAGGAGAAATCACTGACAGTTATGTGACCCGGAATGCAGGAATTTAGGGAAAGACAGGGTGGGATCAAGATTGTTCGGTTTGGCTCAAGGTCAGAAGACCCTTTATGTTTTGGTAAATCATGTTCGTGTTGACATCAGTGAGCCTTACAGCTTATCAGGGTGGAATGTATGAGAAGCAGCTGCTTAACGTTTTTCTTGGACTCAGGTGGCTGTGCCTGTCTTAGGTTGCCCCCCTCTGGGGATCTTACCCGTCATTGGCTAACCAGCCTTCTCACCTCTGAGTCTGCAGTTTTTTATAACTTGTTTACCATTCCAGCCCAAGACTCGTTCCTTTGGGGGCCTACAGTTTACCTTTAGGGAAGTCATGGGAAGAGGGGAGCAAGATACATTCTTATAGATATGTTGAAGCAGACCACCAGACCAGCCAGTTCCTTGCTTTGGGAACAGAAGACTATCTAATAGCAGGTACGCCCAGCGTTTATAGCCGAGGGCCTGGGTCGTTGCTTTGCAACGAGCAGAGTGCTACGTAAAACCTCAACTATGCAAGCAAGGCAGTTACTAAGCACATTTGCTCTTCTTTAAGGAGACAAGTGGCTGGAGTCTGTTACAATTTGTTCACCCAATCATGGGCTCCCACATTCAATCTAATTTATATAATTACAATGATTAGAAATAATTTCTGTTAAGTGAATTGGTATCTCCATGGCACCTACTTTTTCAGAAGTCACAAAATGAAATGGCTGGAGTAACCAGGCACATAAGTGCCTGAAGTCAGTCTAGGTTTAAGGAAAAGAAGGCATCATGGGGACTGTAGTGTGGCCTTCCTGAAAGTGTCAGCCAGGTAATACTCAGCTCCAGTCAATTTTGACATGTAACACCCAAGCCCCATTGTCATCAAATCTTCCATCTTTTAGGGTAAGCTGAGTGTTTCATTATTTATTTGGGATATTTTTGTATGTTGACTGTCAATAAATTAAAATTGTTTAAAAATATGGTGTCTGCAGACAAAACCCAAGCCCAGCTAAATTTTGCCCAAGTTTGCTGGGCAATTTGAGCCAATTTGAGACCTTTGGAGAAAATGTTAGTTTCTAAGTGCATGTAATTATTGGGAAATGAATCAGGATGTGCCAGGAATTATTCTAACCATCCAGAAGAAAGCCATAAGTGAAAGAAAAATCTCTTCTTTCATGGAGGTTATATTTTAACTGGCTGAGAGAGATGAACCCATGATAAATAGTAAATTGTTGGTGTGATCATGTTTCATGCTAAGGAGAAAGCTGAATTGTAGAAAGCGAATGGGAAGTATTGGTTGGGATAAGGTGTTCACAGCTGGATAGTGTGAACAGGAACTTTTCCCCTAGCAAAAGAGCAAAAACTCGAAGAAAGTAAATCTTGCAGGTAGTTCAGAAAGAACCCATTTACAGAGGCCCTGATTTATGAGTCTGCCTGGCAAGTCTGAGAAATACTGGATAGACCAGTGTGAAATAGTGAATTTGGTGGAAACAAAGTCAGAGAAGCAAATGGGACCAATAATATAGGGTTCTCTGGTAATGAAAGGACTTTAAGAAAACAATGACATTGATTGGAAACTGATGTCAAATAGAAGATACCTTAAGGGGTCAAGGGAAGAGACATGAACCGTTTAGAGCCTACTATAGTAGTCTAGATATGTGATTGTGCCAGTAGAGGGGATGGTTAAGAATTGTAATATTCTAGACATACTCTGAAACTTAGAGAAGATAGAATTTAATAACTTAGAGGTAAAGTGAGAGAGAAAGGAAAAGGTCAATAATTATTCCAGAGTTTTGGCTTGATCACCTGGAATAATGTAGTTACTATTTACTGAGACAGCAAAGATGGAGAGAGGAGCTGGTTTGGGGGAAAAATTAGGAGCTTAGTTTATAAAAGTTAAGTTTGAAATGCTCATTGGAAATTTAAGTTAGAATGTAGAGTAAACATTGTATAGCACTTGACTGCCTAATGGGATTAATGAAAATATTAAAGAAAAGACCAAAGGCAGACTTTTATCAAAATTAGCTAGCCTCATAACTTCTTATGCAACTGGTGTACAGCTAATATGAGGATGAAAAAAGAGGAACTTTTTACCACAGTGAGATGTAAAAGGCCTGAAGTAGATGAGTTCTGTAGGATGCAAATAGAAAGAAAGTCCTATAATATATGAAGCCCCATACTATTTCAGTGGGTATATAGTTGATGTCATATGTTTAATACATTACAATAATTATATCCATAGTTCATCAACACACTTACCTGTATACAGGAACTTCCTTTAGTGTAAGAACCAGGTAGTCCAGAAAGAAGATAATGTGTGGAGGTGTTTGTGTGAAATTGAGGGAATTGAGAGTTAGGACATAAGCAAACAAAAAGATCAACAGCCCTCTGAGAATAAAAATAAAACTTGAATACAGGTTGATAAGAGCTAGAAATAATTTAAGAAATGCCAATTATCATTAAAAGTGTTAATAATTGATTACAATTTTGGCTTATTGGAAATAACATTGTAACTTTCATGAATTTCTAAGTCTGAAAGGAAGTGGTCTCTGGTAGAAAAAAACATCAAATTTATGTGAGCTATGAAGAATGACTTAGGAGAACTGTATCTAACCATTTTTTTCTAAAAAAAGTTTAATTCAATATAGTTTTGATATGTTTTGAGAAATCTATGAATGCAATTTTATTAAAACACAAAACATACAGTTACCTCTAATTTTAATGTCAAAATGTTCCTCTATTACATAGAAAACATCCTTTTAAACTAAATGTCTGATATCTATTGGAATAGCTATATGCATGTGTAGTAAGGTAAAATTACAATGAGCCCTGTGCCACTATCATGATTAAACATGGGACTGATACAGATCATTGGGTGATTTGTATATTAAACTAGTGATTTCTATTTAAACATTATTATTATAAAGCTAATAGTGTAAATAGATGTTTCTCCATTTCAAAAGAGCAAGAGTTTCTTCAATTCAAATATTTGCTTTTCTGATAGGTTCATTAAACTGTTTTTTTCTTCTTTTCTATTATACCCTCCTTCTTTTCCATGCCATATGAGGTGGTAAATGATGGTTTCATAACTCATTTGTAGTTTTAAACTAAGAATAGAGCATGTGTTAGTATTTAGAGTATTGCCACTAATCATGTATGACTTTCTCAGTAACTGAATACAAGAAAGTTCCTCTGAGTTTACCAGAAGAGGAAGAGAGATCCAGGGAAGTCATGTGATGAGTATAAAGACACAGTTGGACTCAAGTCAGGAAATACTGGCTTTTATTCCAGTGATTTTTATATTCAAGAGT